GTACCAAGGTGGGGTTGGGTGTTGCTTGGGTATTGGTGTAAGCCAATCGAATTTGGTGGAAAACTTGATGTGGGATTGACAGGTGGGGACAAGTGGATTGGGGCGGTGCTGGTACTTAAGTGGTGGGGTGTGTTGACTGTAGATGGATTGATCTGTGGAGGGGGGTAGTGCATGGTGCTGGTGGTTGGGTATTGATATAAAATAGGAAAGGTTTGCTGTGATGTACTTGCACTTTGGGGTATGGTATGGGGATTGGTATTTGTATAGGTGGACTGGGCACTGATTACAGAACTACTCACTGGATCATTCATTGTTGAAGGTACAAATTCAGGTGCAGACTCATTGATGGTAGTATCTGTCTCTGTAACTGCAGGTGGGGGGATGTCACTCACTGTCCCTTCCTTGGAGAGGCTGGTGGGGGTGTGGTCAATTTGGGTACTGGGATTGGTCACAGGTGGGCTACTAGAGGTTGCACTATCTATATTAAGAAGTGCAGCAGATGCACCCACAGTATTTACTTGATTTACAATAGGGGGTGATGGAGTCTTTTCGATTGAACTTTGACAGTCACATAGGTATAGGGTTATTGATCTAACCTGTTTGAAACCTTGTGCAATAATTTTATCAATCTCAAGATGTAACTGAATATCTTGCTCTGATTTTGAAGACCCAATCAAACTTAATTCAGAGATTTTCCCACACAACACATTTAACATTGCCTGCAATTCTTCTTTGTCTAATTGCAATGCTCGTTTATTTGGACTGGTAGAGTTAATGTTTATATCAACTGTTTCGATTAACTCACTTATTCGACTAGAATCTAGCTTTAAGGCAACTCTCGCTGGTTCTACTGCTAAGTTTTTGTTTATTTCTCGCTCAGCAGCCTTTTGTTCCAAGAATACTTCCCTAGCCTCATTATAACACTGTTTAACATTGTCTCTATACTCACTAATATCCTCTCCTTTCACAACACGATGTTCACTGTTCTCTTCCTCTGACACGAGAAGTTCAAACTCTTCATTTGCTACACAGAAATCATCGTACGCCTTTTCGAGTTCGATTATTAAACTCTTCAACACATCATATTCTGTTCCTCGGTGGGCTGCACCGATAAGTCGCCTCGAGGCCAAACTAACCGCCGTTTTGGCCTTACTTCTCTCTTGTTTCTTGTTTTGGACACTCATATTTTAGTTCATAGCATCGACCAATGACCCAATGATAACTACGTCAAGCAACTTCGAGTATTTGGCAGGCAAAACTCCTTTAAAGTCGGCTTCTTTATAGCTCACGAACGTCACCGTCCTGATTGATTTCTTCGATCACTAGTGTTTTACTGTATTGGTATCGCTATATACCCACGTATTTCAACGCGCATGCAAACATAATTACTCAAAGAAAACGATAATGTACTTAAACAATGTATAAACTTTTATTTCTTTACAAATATCGTCGAATTATTGAGCCTTTTGAGCGGTAAAACACTGTGGTGTATTAAAACCAAAAACCAAAACGTTGTTTACACGTTGTCGTCCTATTTACCGCGGGCTCGCCTCTTATCTCAGTCAGTACTTTATGTAAGTTTGTTATCGTATCGAAAGTTCTAATAACGTCTGAAGTCATACCAACACAGTGGTCCACCCTCGCGACTGCCTTTATGTATACTAAGAGTCTTTGTATTCCGCACGATAAGCATTAATGAAAACATTATATTAAGTATAATAAAAATTATTAAATGCAAAAAATTCCACCAGAATAGCATCACCTTGGTATATATACATGAACTTGTGGTTAGAGCTCGACAACTGTCCTCTGTAGTTCAGTAGGTTGGAGCGATGCACTGGAATCGCAGGGCCGCAGTTTTAATTCCTGTGAGAGGGCCGATATAGTTGCATTTTTCGTAACGTAATCGTAACGTATCTAATAAATGACAAAATATATCAAAATTCCACTCGAAATTTCCATCTACAGATCCCTTATAAATAATAACTGTATAGTTGATGAAGCATACGTTTTTAAATTAGCCATTCCGAAGTTGATGAGTGGACTGGGGACGAGTGTTAAAAAGTGCCCAAATTCCTTTCTACCGATATGTCGCAATTTGGCGGTATTACGAACAAGGATAAAAGCTCGCATCAGTTGTTCGCAGAGAAGTCAGGGGCTGTCATTTATGACCCCAATGTTGCGAAGCGTCTTAAACGCATAGATCGTTGGAAAGTCTCGTATAGCCAGCGGTAATTCGTGACAACAGTCGCAAATTTTTAATGATTTGTATGATTGTTCAAACCTTTAGAAATGTATTGTCTTAAAACCTATTTTAGATGCACGAGTTTATTACCATAGCATGACTAGTTGCCATGGCTACCTTCGCCATTGAGTGACAAGCGCAGTGGGGTGTTCAACCACTCAGCCACTTCAAAGTCGCAGTCTGAAGGATCTAAATTTGTTTCAAATTTTAAAGTTTCCTTCTAAAGTGTACAACGTCGTAGAATACAATTCATCTCAATTGTCGCATTTAATATATAATTCCAGTACATAATTATCATGATGTCAATGCGTTCGAACGCTTCAAAAATTCGTATCGTCTTCAACGACCACATATTTTTTACATGTTTACAATTCTATTTTTTAAACAGCCAATCAAGTTTTCATAGTAATTGCACAGAATAGGAAATGGTACTTATCATGGAAAATTTAATGTGAACATTTTTAATTTAAACCACCGCGAGTGTGTGTTTTTTCACAGGAAGATAATTTTGTCGATGTATTTTTGGTGTAAAGCTAATGATGGGCATGCACTTTCCGTCGTTTTTACGTTAAGAATCATCGGTGTAAGGTGTTGATAAGCATGCCTATGGTATAGTAATGTGCTACTGCATTTGGGAGCACTATTATTTATATATAGTATTACAGACAGCAACGTTTATTCACATCAAACAGACCTCGAAACAGACAGTAGGCGTCCAAAGTTTAATACACCTAATTTGCAGCTGACTGACTTTGCATGACAATAAAGTTCTCGAGTGCTGCACAGAGCCTATTGAAATGCAGCCAGCAGGATGGTTTTGTAAAGTATGAGCTACACGGCATCTACCAATCTTTTGAATGATCTAAATTTGTAACTCGTAAGAGTGAGGACGTGTCACAGGAAAATTATTTTGTCGGATATATTTTTGGTGTAAAACTGATAATGGCCAGTTTTAGTCGTTTCCAATTTAAAAAATATCGATGGTTGATATTGATTGTTGTGTTGGTAGTCTTGCCTATCGTGTCGCTACTGCATATGGGAGCGCTATTACTGTATAGACGACAGAACCTTTATTTCGTGGGCAATCATTATATTCATGACACATCATCAACCATCACCGAAACATCATGCCTCCAGCGTCCAAGTAATATCGAATGTAAAGGCGGGGAGTTGCTGACTGGAAGGGTTCGGAAATTTAGTAATTTTATCGCCGAACTCAATAGCAGCGAACACCGTCAATTTGATTCAGGTGTTTTGAATTTCTCGTACGCTTATGACCACATCGATATGCAGCAGGTTTTTACCAAGGAATTTTCGGGCTACGATTCGCTTCCAGCAAATAAAACGGCATCGTATCCTGGTGGTTATATTTATGTCCTGAGCGTAGGGCAGGAGCTTTCACAATGCACAATACATTTGCTCGAGTTGTGCTTGTACGCGGCAACTGGCCATAGAAAAGTCGTGACGCCTCAAATGAGTAATGGAGGAATGAGAATAGGTGGACTGCCTTTTGGTGAATTTTTCGATGTTCCTCGTTTAAATAAACAACTGTCGAGATTTGGCTATTCTGAATTGGCTACCGAGGATGAATTCAAGAGCAATTGCGAGAATCAAAGAAAAAAGGTTTTGGTGGTGTTTTATGAAAAACCCGAGAGTAGAAGTGCACCACATGGTGGCTTCCATGCCGCTTTTCGCGATAAATTAGACATATATGAAAAGGTGAAGAAAGCTGGGTGGCTAAACTGTACACAGTATATAACTGAAATACCAAAGACCTTTGAAAAAGATCGAAATAACGCCGACTATTTTTGCATGGACGGAAACTTGTTTGGAGCTGATGTAGAATTATTTAACCAGAAGGTTCTAGGCGATAGCAAGTGTGTTTTCCTCAACTCGTGGGTCCAGCTGTATAATGTTCACTGGAACAGATTGATACCTACTGGTGCACCTTATGCTTATAAAATCCTATACTGGTTTCTTGATCCCAGCCGGGAAGTCATAGACGAAGCGAATACTTTCCGAGACATGCGTATACAACGTCCCTATGTTGCAATACATATCCGTGGTGCAAAATTCAAAAACAAATCATTCCTTCAACCTTGCTTCGATATAGCTTTGGAATTTGTGAATGCGTTAAGGCGAACACGTAAGGTAAAAACCTTATTCCTTTCTACCGATATGTCGCAATTTGGCGGTATGACGAACAAGGATAAAAGCTCGCATCAGTTGTTCGCAGAGAAGTCAGGGGCTGTCATTTATGACCCCAATGTTGCGAAGCGTCTTAAACGCATAGATCGTTGGAAAGTCTCGTTGACTGAAGCACGGCTTTTGACACAGAGTGATCACCTTATTACAATAGGGCAGGGGAGTTTTGGCAACTTTATCAGAAATAGATATCTTTGGGAACACAGGAATAAGCAAAATTGGACGTTCTCTAAATTATGTATGAGCACGGCGAAACGATTCTTTTAAACAGTTTTATTATACTGGCTCGTACCCAGGCGTCTCTTTGTAAAAAAACAGTGATGCGCATATGACGAGTTTACATGAAGTATTGTAGTGAGGAGAGATGGCGAAGGGGCTGATGGGAAGAGTACAACAGCCCCTTCGCGCGTCGCCTGCTTACCTGAATACTTCATGTATTGTAATCATTTAAAGAGCCTGGGTACGAGGCAGTTTATTATACATTATAGTCACTACGTGTCTTCTGCTAAATATGTAAATTATGCGCAACAAAATCTGATTTCTATACGCATGTTAATTGAAATGTTTTCACATAAATTACAAATCACAGGGCAACATGTGTCGACATTTCTACTTAACATGCGTTGAAATCAGATTTTGTTGCAAGTTGCAGCAATTTTGTTGCTCGTGTAACTCCAGCTTTACCTTGAGTCCTTGACCTTACGATAGAAACATCATCCAAATATAACTGTTTAATACCTTAGCTCACTACAGTAAAGCCTGTTATTGATACTGTAGAAATTTTGCATGAGTAAATTCCAAGTTTTTAAGGATTTGTAAGAAATGTTTTAGTGAACTGACTTTATGTTAAACACTCAGTCAGTTCCCTCAAACATTTCTTACAAATCCTTCAAAACTTAGAATTTACCCATGCAAAATTTCTACTGTGATCACAGAAACTTTGATAGTGTAAACCAGGCTTAATAATTTGCTCTTAAGGTGGCTCCTTACACTTTTTAAAATTGGAAGATTTTCTGATTTGAACATGAATTCTTGCACAACAATTAGGCCGTGGGCCGTTGTGCGAAAAAATGCTTAGAAAAGCAATTTCGTGGCAACCCCCCTGGGGAATAGTTTTATGTGGTTCAATGCATAGTACCATAGATGCTCAATCACCAAAAAAAGTTCCCAAGCAAAAAACTTGCCCAATACCGAGAAAATTGGGTGATCAGTGATTATCCTCTATTAAATTGTATTACAGCAAGAAAATGTGAAGTTTTGTATTCAATTACAACAAAAATGACTTGCATCATCAAAAAGCTTACAAAAATATACATATAAGACATTTAAACAGTTTTTTTATATCTCAAATTGTATTCGAGTTATACGCGTTTTTGACCTAGTACCCAGTCCTTATTACGACATTTTGGTCCAATTTTCACATTTAAAACAGCAATAACTCAAAGACTATTTAAAGGATCAAAAAACTGTTTAAAAGTCTTAGATGCGGTTTTTTCTAAGCTTTCTGATGATGCAAGTCATTTTTGTTGTAATTGAATACAAAATTTCACATTTTCTTGCTGTAATACAATTTAATAGAGGATAATCACTGATCACCCATTTTCTCGGTGTTTGGCAAGGTTTTTGCTTGGGAACGTTTTTTGGTAATTGAACATCTATAGTACTATATGCATTGAACCACAGAAAAGCTATTCCCCAGGGGGTTGCCACGAAGCGAAATAATTTTGGCCAACGGCCCACGGCATAAATTATTTGTTGTCAATTTCGTACCACCAATGGCGAACCATCGCAATGGCGGATCACTCATTGTGAAGTTCAATATCTGCCATATTGTCTTGAACTACGTCATTGTGACATTGACATTGTTACCGAAATGGCTGGAATTTTGTAAATTATTATTCCTAATACTTCTAACCGCCAACGGAATATTTCAATTATTGACCGACTGGTGGTCCGCTCTCGAGACTGCTTTTATATACAAACAGTCTTTGTATTCCGCACGATAAGAAGTTTTAAAATGAAAACATTTGACATGTTTTATATATGGGTAAATATCAAAATTTATGGCATCTTTTCTTCTGTGTTGGTGTTTTCCTACTCAGGTGAATAAGATGTTTGTGATGTTACACTGAGTGTATATCCACACCGGGCAAGCTTGAAAAATATGCCTGGCCACAGTGGGAATCGAACCTACGACCTTAGGAATTCTAAGCCAATGCTCTGCCAACTGAGCTACGCGGTCAGGTCGGTTCGAGTATGTGATATTTCGGAACTATTAATCATATTACTAGATTGCATTCCCGCGCTGCCCCTAGAGCCTCGTTTTCGTGTTAAAGCTTATTTCCACATTTATTGATCAAAATCCAAAATTCTTTTATGATTGTGTTGAAGAAGGATGTTCTGCTTCTCTTCCCATAGCCGTGAGAAACAAACTTGAAATAGCATTCCATTTAAGGTGGTCCTAAGTTGAAAACAGTGTAGTTGTGACGTAATTATCGACGAAGGGCTTTCGCTCGAAACGTCGAGTTTCTGCTTATTTTTTAAGGTAGTAATGTAACCACTCAGCACAGCATTTTGTATTGTATAAAAAATTTTAAAATAATATAAATATTAAGTACATTATTATTTAAGTATATTAAATATAGTACATATAAATATTAGTTCAAACCTTTCCAAATATATTGTTTTAACCTACCAGGTGATCTCGTGTTTGTATTTTAGCCAATCAGCGCTCAGAAAGGGTTGTTCGAATAGAAATCCATTTTGATGTATTCAGTCAATTATATCTTTCGTTATTCTTTATGAAACTAATTGTAATTTTGTAATTATGTTTGGTTATGAGAACTATAGCTCTGACAAAAATATGGAATCGAAATAAAGTATATCACAGGAGATATTCAGTTGTTTTAATCACAAAACGGATTTCTATTTGACAACTAGTGCCAGTACTTTTCCGCGTATCAAGATCATCTGGTAGTTAGATGCAGGTTTATTAGCAGTAGCATGAACCATGACCAGTTGCCATGGCTACCTTCGCCATTGCGTGGTAAGAGCAGTAGAGTGTTTCGGCCACTTCAAAGCCACCCACTGAAACTCGCAGTCTGACGGATCTAAATTTGTTTCAAATTTTAAAGTTTCCTTCTAGAGTGCACAATGTCGTAGAATACAATTCATTTCAATTGTCACATTTAATATATTATTCCAGTATATAATTATCACGATATCAATGCGTTCGAACGCTTCAAAAATTCGTATCGTGTTCAACGACCACATATTTTTGGCATGTTCACAATTCTAATTTTTAAACAACCAATCAAGTTTTCACAGTAATTGCACAGAATAGGAAATGATACTTATCATGGAAAATTTAATGTGAACATTTTTAAACCACCGCGAGTGTGATCCACTATAATATATCGCGTTTCACATGAAAATAATTTTGCCGATGTATTTTTGGCGTAAAACTAATGATGGCCATTCTCGTCGTTTTTACGTTAAAAATCATCGATGTTTGATATGCCTATATAGTTTTGCTACTGCATTTGGGAGCACTATTACCATATAGTCTATAATCTATAACATATAGTCAACAACGTTTATTGACACCAAACAGACAGTATAGTTGGCGTCCAAAGGCAAAGTTCAATAGACAATGCGTCTAATTTGCAACTGACTTACAAACACTTTGCATGACAATACAGTTCTCGACTATTTTTAGTTAATTGCACAGAGCCTATAGAAATGTAGCCAGCATGAGCGTTTTGTAAAGTGTGAGCTACGCCATGTACCGATCTTCTGAATGATCTAAATTTGTAACTCATACGAGCGAGGACGTGTCACATGCAGGAGAATAATAATGTCGGATATATTTTTGGTGTAAAACTAATGCCTATTTGAATGATGGCCGGTTTTAGTCGTTTCCAATTTAAAAGTTATCGATGGTTGATATTGATTGTCGTGTTGGTAATCTTGCCTATCGTTTCGCTACTGCATTTGGGAGCGCTATTACTGTATAGACGACAGAACGTTTATTTCGTGGGCAATCATTATATTCATGATGCATCATCAACCATCACCGAAACCTCGACCGAAACAACGAGTCACCAGCGTCCAAGTAATATCGAATGTAAAGGTGGGGAGTTGCTGACTGGAAGAGTTGGGAAATTTAGTAATTTTATCGCCGAACTCAATAGCAGCCAACACCGTCAATTTGATTCAGGTGTTTTGAATTTCTCGTACGCTTATGACCACATCGATATGCAGCAGGTTTTTACCGAGGAATTTTCGAGCTACGATTCGCTTCCAGCAAATAAAACGGCAACGTATCCTGGTGGATATATTTATGTCATGGGTGTAGGACAGGAGCTTTCACAATGCACACGACATTTGTTCGAGTTGTGCTTGTACGCGACTACCAGCCGAAGAAAAGTCGTGACGCCTCAAATGAGTAATGGCGGAATGAATATAGGTGGAATGCCTTTTGGTGAATTTTACGATGTTCCCAATTTAAATAAGCAACTGTTGAGGTTTGGCTATTCTGAATTGGCTACCGAGGATGAATTCCGGAACAATTGCGAGAATCAAAGAAAAAAGGTTGTGGTGGTATTCTATGAAAAACCCGTGAGAAAAAGTTTCCCATTATTCTTCCATGCCGCTTTTCGCGATAAATTTGACATGTATGAAAAGGTGACGAAAGCTGGGTGGCTAAACTGTACACAGTATATCACTGAAATACCGAAGACTTTTGAAAAAGATCGAAATAACGCCGACTATTATTGCGTGGACAAAAACATGTTTGAAAATATAGAATTATTTAAGAAGATTCTAGGCGATAGCAAGTGTGTTTTCATCAATTCATGGATCGATTCCTCTTATGTACACTGGAACAGAATTTTACCAGCCGGTGCACCTGGGGCTTTTAAAATCCTATACTGGTTTCTTGATCCCAGCCCGGAAGTCATAGACGAAGCGAATGCTTTCCGAGACATGCGTATACAACGTCCCTATGTTGCAATACATATCCGTGGTGCAAAATTCAAAAACAAATCATTCCTTCAACCTTGCTTCGATATAGCTTTGGAATTTGTGAATGCGTTAAGGCGAACACGTAAGGTAAAAACCTTATTCCTTTCTACCGATATGTCGCAATTTGGTGGATATACGAACAAGGATAAAGTCTCGCATCAGTTATTCGCAGAAAAGTCAGGGGCGGTCATATATGACCCCAATGTTGCGAAGCAAATACTTAAACGGATAGATCGTTGGAAAGTCTCGTTGACCGAAGTGCGGCTTTTGTCACAGAGTGATCATCTTATTACAATAGGGAAGGGGAGTTTTGGCAACTTTATCAGAAATAGATATCTTTGGGAACACAGGAATAAGCAAAATTGGACGCTCTCTAAATTGTGTTTTAACACAGCTTCACGGTTCTTTTAAACAGTTATTTAATCGCCCATGTTCGATTCCTTCCAGATAGGGCCGATAGTTGCAATTTTTGCAATTGCTCATGATTAGCCTTAGGTAATTAGGTCTATAAATAAATGTATAAAAATTCTACTCGAAATTTTCATTTCACAATTATTCGCCGAAGGCGAGGTGATTATCGGTGAATATTCGCCGAGACGAAGTCGAGGGGAATATTCCCCGATAATCACCGAGGCACCAGGTCATGACCTGGAGCCTCGTTTTCGTGTTAAAGCTTCTTTCCACATTTATTGGTCAAAATAAAGAATTCTTTTTCATGCATGTGTTGAAGAAGGATGTTCTGCTTCTCTGTGCATAGCCCATGAGAAAAAAAACTTGAAATCCTTTCCATTTAAGATGGTCCTAAGTTGAAAACAGTGTAGTTCTGACGTAATTATCGAAAGGGTGTATTGGTAGACCCTAAAATAGAATTCCTGTGTGAGTCAAATATAAAACTTCCTGCATATGTAGATTTCAGAGAAAAACTGTACCGATTAAACAGGTATAAATCAAGCCAAAATGCGAAATTTCGGTACACTCTTTGCCAAGATGCAATCTCGTTCCCCGAGCCTGCGATCCTCGGGAAGGAACGCGAGGCTCTGGGATAATCCGTTTCAGGGAGGAATCTGATTGGCCGTTGAAATGGAATGCGTAGTTCAATCTTAGCCAGAATTCCTGGCTTCCGGCAACGGATTATCCCAGAGCCTCGCGTTCCTTCCCGAGGATCGCAGGCTCGGGGAACGAGATTGGCCAAGATGGCGCAAATTGAAGGAGCTATTGGACGTCAGTCCCAGTCCCTTTCTATTGTTTTTGTCTGCGCGGTTAACACGAAGCTGGCTCCAGGAGCGCAGAATGAAAGCCTGGGTTCGAGGTTGAGCTGGCTCCACTTTTCACCACAACTAGCTGAAAACGGATTATTAGCACATATACTCAGTTGCATACTATATAACATTTCTAGAAAACGTTCACAGCCATTACACAATTAAAATGTTCTGGTTGATATCTCTATACATCTGGAAACATTTACAACGTATTAAATATAAAGCTAGTGTAGTCTAGTGTAAGTTTTGTATTCTTTGTAAGGATAGATGCCATTTTTCTTCCCATCTTTCCTCATCATATGAAGCGTTATCACCATGAGTGTTTATCTCGTTCACACACGCAAAGAAATTTGATTTGTACTCCTAGAAAAACGATAAGACAGCTGTTCACACCCAAAAATCCGGGGATGGTGCAGCCAAATCTAAAAGAGGGGGGCAGAGGTTGTTCATCGAGAATAGACCTTATGCATAATGACGTCACAAAGCTTGATGCCCGCGAGGAATGCTGGTCTTAGTAGTCATGGCCCGGGAAAATTTCTATAGTGGCCATTTTGAATTGTTTAATTTTCCCGGGCGATGACTACTAAGACCAGCATTCCTCGCGGGCATCAAGCCTTGGGAGTGACATTATGCATAGACATTGGTGCTGGATCTAGTTTCTGTCTTATTTTGTCTCTCTCTGGGGAATAAACACCCTGGTTAAAAATCTCCTGATCAATCTAATCTTTGTTAATTTAACCACACCCCTGGCTAATTATATAACCAGGATTTCTGGTTAATTTATTTAACCAGGCTATATGGATGAATTAACTAGATTATGTTAGGTGGAATATTAATCAGAAATTTCTGGTTAACAGTCCACCTAACATAATCTGGTTAATTCAACCATATAGCCTGGTTAAATTAACCAGGAATTCTGGTTAAATTATAGCCAGGACTATGTAGAGTGCATCAGGGCACATTGCCACTTAAAGGATTAATTTCTGCATACCTAAGATACGATTGAAATACTCTATCATACATGTTTTCACGGCATTTCCTACGATTCCTTTATCCTATTAAGACCTAATAAAGCTCCGAAACTATTCCATTTATCATCTGGAAATGAATAGCCTGCATGTGTTTACTTTCCTGCTTACCTTATAAGCTTTGTTTCTTGCTTCAATAACGGATTTGTGAGCGGCTGTCGTTTTTGAAGTCGCCATTGTTGGCGATCGTGGGAGGTGGTTAAAGAAAAATCTGACTAATTCATGTGAGATCGGATACCGCATGGTTTGAAAAAACCTAAGCTAAGCTATAGATCCAAACCCTGGGAACGAGATTGCTATAGATCCTCCCTGCAATCAAGCAGAGTGGCATATCAGGCAATGCTTTTCTGGCTGTTGTTGGCACCTGACACTAGACCTACACTTACTGACCCACAGCAAAAATTTTCTTCTAATGAAAGAAACTAGACTTATCAAGACAGAAATTCCTGCTCGCGTTTGACCGCTGACTTTCATCATGCACTCTCATGCAACTCTTTTTCTCGTTCGACCGGGACATGAAAGTTTGGGAATCTCTCATGCAAATGCAAACTCTTGCTTGTCAACTTTTTTCCTCGTTTGACTAGGACCTAGTTATTATCTCTTCTGAAGCCTGGTATACACTATCAAAGTTTCTGTGATCACAGTAGGAATTTTGCATCGGTAAATTCTAAGTTTTGGAGGATTTGTAAGAAATGTTTGAGGGAACTGGCAACACTGAATCAGTTCCCTGAAACATTTCTTACAAATCCTCCAAAACTTAGAATTTACCGATGCAAAATTCCTACTGTGATCACAGAAACTTTGATAGTGTAGACCAGCTTTGAGTAACGGTTGTTCTCCCGATGTCATATACATGAGCTCATTTTAAGGTCAACAGCAAGCGGTCAAAATTCAGTTGTCTTATGCCCAGGGCAAGCTAGGAAACATTGTTGCCGAAACATTGTTTCCTACCAATGTTTCGCCATGTTTCCCAGAGTGGGCAAACACTAGGAAACATTAGTGAGAAACATAGGGAAACATTTCAAATGTTTCTGAAGTTTGCATTGGAAACATTTTTGCTTCCCGGGAAGCAAATTTTGTTTCCGCAACAATGTTTCCACGGGTGGGCAAACATGGAAACATTTGAGGAAACATCGAGAATCACAAATGTTTCCACAACAATGTTTCCTAGTTTGCCGAGGGCTTTACTGTACTTTCACCTCGTGTCACATACGAGAAGAATGCTTTCAGTTTCATTCCACCAAACATCGCAGTTTGCTCTGGGTAAACTTTTAATTTACGAAACGATGGCCGTTACTGGACCTCTGGGAAACACAGAACTAATGCATGGATGATTTCAGCTAAAGACTATATTTTGATCAAGGCAAGAAGAACGAAATCCAACACCACAGCTAGAAAGAGCATCTTAAAATGAGTAAAACTACAAAGATTGGTTGCTAAATGTTGTATAAAATGAGGAAAATATAGCCCTGTGAAGTTCGCAAATTTTGTAATGCAAATGCATTACACGCAGGAAAAATAACCATTTTTGAGCCGAAAGTGGTTATTTTTACCGCGCGTAATACAAATATATACAAAATTTGCGCACTTCACAGGGCTATATTTTCCTCATTTTACAACATTTATCAATCAATCTTTACAGTTTTACTCATTCTAAGACGCTCTTTCTAGCTGTGGTGTTGGATTTCATTCTTCTTGCCTTGATCAAAATTTAGTCTGCAGCTGGAATCACCCATTGAGCTGTATCCTCAGCTATGATAATAAAAGGATATTTGTTAACTGATCAGGCGGTGTAAGGACCAATTCGTTTGTTGGCAGACCTTCCCATTTTCCACCGGGCTTACTGAAGTACTCTGATTCCTTTTCTACAAAACATAAATTATTCAATTCCAACAAATACTGCTTGGGGCATGTCCAACTATACAGCTCGAAGATTCATTTCGTTATTGGCCTTACCTTGCTCATTTTTAGGTGGTTTTGTCCTTTCTAACAATATCTGTTTGGTGCTTTTTGGTTTCTCTTCCACTTCTGGAAAGATTATAATTATATATATAGTGTTGACTGATTATAACTATAGAGGGTACTTGGAGATTGCATACCTCTGCCAGCGAATTAAATTATGTAGCATGCATAAATTATACAAAGGGCTAATTTCGTATTCAGTTTATTCTGCCCGGCAAAGCATCACAAACGTTTGCTAATTTCTCATCCAGATTCACAGACAGACTAATTTCTCATCCAGTTTCACAGACAGACAGACAGACGGACGGATGGACGGACGGACGGACGGACAGATAATATAATGTATTGATAATGATATAATAATTTATTGATTGGATACTTACTGCCGATTTTCACATCATCTACAGTTACCAAAGCATCAAACAATCTCAACATTTCTGCGCTGGTTCTTGACAGAACATCTATAAAACTTTTAGCTCGTCCAACCCGATGACCCTATGAAAATACATAAGTGAGTCCAGAAACTGGAGCTCATTAATTATGTACTGAGTAGCGGCTGGGAGAATCGTAGGTAACCATATTCAATAACGCACATGTTTCATTCATTTAAATTCATTTAAATTCATTTAAATTCATTCATTCAAGTATACTTTATAATTGTTGAACACATAATGGCGCAATATACGTTTATGTACTTTTGAGGAGCATTTGAAAACTATACCACTGTGAATCATCCAAAAAATGTCGTAAATCATACAACTGTGACTCCCCCCCCCGCCCCTCCTTATAGTGTCCGCCACAGTAGCTTGGGTTGTGGAATAAAAAACTGATGGCCCAAAGATTGCCTACCTTCAGTTCGTCCATGAAATCTTTCAAAGCTTTCATTTTCAAGGCACTTCGTTCTTTCTCGACATTCTTCAATCCTTCCAGTTCCTCGCGATTCTTGGGATGCCCCAGAGCCGGCCGCAGCTTGCCTTCGTGTTGTTTCTGCAACACAGAATCGTTGGCAATTTTTAGTATACATGCATGATAAGGTCTTCCAGTATAAATTTCATACATTTATTATAGACCTAAAGGTGGAGTAATACGGCGAGTTTGCCGTTTTTCAGTCATTTTGTATTACAAATAGGAAATTGATAATCAGTTTGATCATCTGATTATCAATTTCCCGTTTGTAATGCAAAATGACTGAAAAACGGCAAACTTCGCAAGGCTATATTATCCGCATTTTACAACATTTCGCAACGAAACTTCAGAGTATTACTAATTTTGTGATGCTCTTTCAAGCTGTGATGAAATTTTTGTCCAGGCATATCTAGATCAAATTTTCACTCATAAGGGGAAAGGTCTATTGGTTCTCTGAAAAGCAAGGTTTCCAACCTGAAAAAGCAGGGAAAGTCATGACTGCCGATCACCATGATCTGGAACTTTGGGAACGCTATTTCAAGCCCTGTTCTATCGCGTGCCTAAAGTCCTGATATTCTTCCAGTACAACATACCCTTTGATTTTCAAGCATGGCTGTCGTTTCATTATTTTCTTGCTTGATCCTCTCTACAAACAGCCCCGTCTCGCTAGAATGATCCCCCACGAAAGACTGGATCACTAATTCTGGAATTTGAACCGCAAACGACTGAAGCTTCTTTAACTGGCTACGCAACTCTAGAAAAAGCCAGACGAATTATGAAAAAATGAATGATGAATATAAGGGAAGCGTTTTGTGTGCTATGCACGCTGTATGATTTACGCATACTAAGGAACGATCTGTGCCACTACATGACAAAACTGTAGAAATCTGAGTCAAACATCACCAGACAAGCCCTGATTTCTTCCGAAAAACAGAGGAGAGCTCGATAAGAAGAATGTTCATCTGGCAGAGAGATATCCAGACGGATATAAGAGGAGTTGTATATACCTGAGCCACACTGGAGAGGAAAGGTGCTGGGTTGTACAGAAGAGATCCCTTGATGAGGGCCTATATCCAAGGGCGAATGCCAGAACATGAAGATATTTGCTACATTGGGTGACACTGAAGACCGAGTCTTGGGTCTAGCTTAAAAATAATGATGTCATAGGGCCCCCAGAGAAGATTTGCCCCTTGTTTTAAGACTCAACATAAAACTTTTTATTTAGATCATGTTGAAAAGTTTACATGTTCAGATGTAAACTTTTTATGTTTAAACATAAAATATTCAAGAAATGAGGAGTTTGGTTAGGAATAATGAACTATGCTGAGAAACGTACAATGAACGAACCTACCTTGTATACACGAATTATGATAATCTTCAGCCTGAGTCCTGTAAGACTGTAATCTCTGAACGGTCGCTTGTGCATACGTATCAAAGTTATCATGAATTGCTGACCGTGTTGCCAACCTTGGTCCCTTCTGACGGTAATACGCCTAGGATGGAAGGAGTCACGATTCAGTGATCGGATGTTCCATTATCTTTTCATTGTTTTGAATATCCCACTGTTCTCATGCCAGTCAGGACAACGTCATCAGCCAAAAAAGGTGAAGATATTTGGGGGGAGATAGCTACCGCCATCCTGGTTCAAAGCATAATATTATAATTCGTATTTATACAGGCCTTAAAATATCGGTCGGTCACGGACATTGTCCGACCCATTCGTCAAATTGTACGACGTAGGGAGGAAACCACCGGACATTCTGTCCGACCTAAGTGAAATGAGATTTATTGTTTGTCCGACCCGAGTGAATTGGTGTCCGACCTAACTGTAGCTTTGTCAGACGCTTTCTCCACGCACGTAAATCAAAATGTACCCTAGTCCAGGACTGGAGGCTTGCATGTTATAATGGAGAATTAGAGTATTGTACAAAAATGAACCGGAAATGTTTTTAATAATGTCACCGAACTTGGAGCGAAATGGTGAAGTGGAAAACGAAAAGTTGTCGAAGTCGTACTGCTATTATTGGCAAGCAAGTTAATCTTGGCTTGGAAATAAGTATGAATGACACAAATTATTTAATATCTTCACAATATTTAGTTCAGAATTAATACATTGTGCTGATATTAATTTGCGTCATTCAGACTTATTTCCGAGCCAAACTGAACTGAAGGTCATCGGACATCATCATACATATGCAGGCCCAAACTCAAAGTCATCGGTCATTTTGTCAGACGGCCCTGTAAAAGATATTTTAAGGTGGCTCGATATAGTTATCACAAAACCCCTGCTCAAGAATCGCGAACTCAAAACCGGTTGACCATTTTTACGCGCAGGTCGCGGAAACTGATTAACAAAATGAAAGAACTTCCAAAATGACCTGACGTGAGCAGTTGCTCGCGCCATATCACGCCATTGCGCCTGTTCTATAGCGTTTTATGTCAATTGCTGACGTCATTAGAATTTTCCATTTTAGAAAAACAATGCGCTATATCTCTTTATTTTGTCTGGTGACCTATGTTCAAATTTTGCATGCTGTATTGCATCGCTAAAAACTTTCATTATACAAAAAATAAAAAAATTCTGTAATGCCAAAAAAATGTTAGCGAAGAATATAACATTTTCGCATTTTCCAAAAAAATGGCATTACAGAAATTTTTTATATTTTGCTAATTGTTAGCTTTTCGTCCAAGTAAAATAATGCACGAAAAAAAATTGGGGGTCACCATGCTTTTTTTCCAACTATACGAGGCGATAGACCATTTTGGAGTCAATTTCGTACACGTATGTCGTCATAGCAACGAACTATCTGTTACTAAAACTAATAAAATTTGAAAGTAGAGTTATCAAAATATATAAAAAACCCAATATCTGCTGAATAAATCCTAAAAATGCGTAGTTTGAACATGTCAAAGTGTTAAGCACCTGAATTTTTTAAATCTGTATCGAGCCACCTTAAGGCCTGAATTTATATGCCAAGTAGAATGAACGTATTTCACTGTACTCACTTCTCCTGTTGCCAGTAAGCCATCCAGTGAATTTCGCAAAATGTTGACAATAATTGACAAGAAATCAGGTCTACGAAATGAGAACAAAATGAAAATATTACAATCAAAACCCAACCTTGTTTTGTCAAGCAGCATTTGGACCTGAATATTGAGCGGACGAAGCTGTTTCTACACCAATTTACGTATATCCAATGGGTATATCGAGTCAAAAGGGAAGAGGAAAAATTCAAATCCATAATAATTCATCTTCATTTATTAATAACTTACTTAGGTTCTTCGTCAGTTTTCTCTCCAAATACCAAGTACTTTCTGTCGAATTTCGTGAGAAAATCTCGCCTAGAAGCGCTTGGGTGACGAGCAGTACTAGAAATGGACAGATGATATTATGGATCTTATATATACAATATACGTACTACGTAGTGTCTTCACAAAACTAAGCAATTTTAAAACTGCAAGAAATACACCCTTCCGGACAGTACTTTGCCGTGGCTATAAAGCCTTGTTTCCGTGTTTGAGTCATTGGGCTATAGAGCCCTTTATCTTGTTACAAGATCAGCACAGTCTCCGGCGTAAATAGATGAATAGCATCATTTGACAAAAGTGCACAAATAGATTATAATCATCTATCTTGGGGAAACCTAACCCTAATCTAATCCCAACTGTAACCCCTAATCTTAATCTAATTCTAATCTTAATCTGACACTAAACTTGATGATCTTTTTTTTAAAAAAATTCCCACCCCGGCTCGACCTACCTGCTAACAAAAATCTTGCCTAATGATTGTGGTTTTGTCGTTAGGTAGATGCGCAGACGACAACCAAATTACGTTTCAACCGAGTTTCCCGTAGACAGATGATTATCATGATATCATTTATTTGTGCACTTTTGTCAAATGATGCTATTCATCTATTTATCCCGGAGACTGTGTTCACAAGATAAAGGGCTCTAAACCCAGGAAAACGCGGCTCTACAGCCAAGACTGAGCCCTTTCTGGAATTCTGGAAGGGTGAATTAAGATGCTATGCAATAATTACGAGGTATACTTTACCCAGATCGATGTATCCGACGAGATAGCGATTGTGTCGAGTGCTTGAATGTTGGCTGGAAAACATGTTACAAGTTAAGGTGGCCGCATATGATTAATAATAGATAATGTGATTGGGTCAAAAAATGATACAGCCTGTCATATATGTATTGTAAAAGGTTGAGAAAATGTTTACCTTTCGTTCAATATCAAATGGCATGGTTTTTGGTCTAAGATCATATGATGATGGTTGTTGAGTTTCCATGCTCGGAGGAGTAAGGGTGGCTGTAGTTTGAAGATAAAATTTCATCATACACTATACCTGCATTGACTATAACATCAATTTTTAAAATATACCACACAATGCCATACATACAATACTACAATATACCATACCATACCTAAAAACGATCAGGTTTTTGCAATATTGATGAAAACAGGATTGAACAATGGTTTGCTGCCCACATTGTTCACAGTTGTCAACAATATTGAACATTAGTATTTTTGCACAAGTGAACATAACAAATCCTACAAGTTGATTGCTCAAATTTGACGTATTAAGCTGTCATATTCACCTACAGGTAAATATAACAAACCCGAAATTTTCAAAATGGCGGCTAGCCATTTTGTGTAAGTTATACTGATAAAGAAATAAGCGAAATTAAAATATATTCAGTCCAATATTCAATATTGTTACACCCGATTCAGGCTCAACAATATTGTTCAATATTGTTGACAAGTGTGAATAACGTGGGCAGCAAAACATTGTTCAATCCTGTTAAACAGCGGGCTCAGCGTTTTTACGCGTGTACTACCCCATCGTATACTGCACCATACCATACACCATATCATGCCCAATTATGATGACTGTATCATACCAAAGATACAACACCAAACCAAAACATAAAACACCATGTATATGCCATACCATATTACAATTTACCACACGATACCAGAACAGGTACCATATCTTACCAAACTATGCCATACCTACTATATACACACCATACCATAACTGCCATGCCATGTGCAACATACTTCATCCCCTTGTCCAACCTCGTTCCCAGGCTCTTCCCTGGGAACGAGGTTGCCCCTTCTCAGGGCAATATGCGCACCATGTCATATCATATATCATACAGTATTTTCCACAAACAGCCACATATACTTACGGGAATGTGATGTTACTTTATCGACATTGATGTTCTTTTTGCTGCCCTTGTTGGTGGACCTGAAAATAAGACACCAAGTTTAACGCCTGTATTTTAAAAGCTCACCCACACTCGAGGAGTGGAGGTTCAATATGAGCTTCCCTTGAGTGTCAATGCTGTTTTTGAATAGCTGAAGGTTAGTGTCGTACCTTCCTGTGTGACTACTCGCCCTCCAGCTATTCAAAAACCGCACTGACACTCCAGGAAAGCTCATAATGAACCTCCACTCTTTGAGTGTGATTGTGAGTGAGCTTTTAGATTACTGGCGCAAATCATTGACTAACATCACCCAACCAGCCCAACGGATCGAAAGTTTTCTTCGACTTCAGCTGCAGTCCTGGCAAAAATCATTGTGGACAGCGCGCACGGAAATAGAATTATCTGCCTTGCCTAATACATGCGTGCAAAAACAGCAATTTGTAACACCCCCTCCCCCCCGTTTAATGTTGAAAGCTTATAAATTGGTTAGGTGAAAGCTTTGTGAAATGCATGTCAAAACCAACATTGTAGGGGGGGAGCGGGGGAGACAAAGACACCAAGGGAATTTTTGCTATGATTTGTAGCTTCCACCGTCCTACCTTCTACCATCCTTTTTCTTTCCTTTGGCAGCTTGCTGGGTATTCTCCTCAACATACGACAGATCGCTGCCGCTCAGTGCAGCGTAACAAGACGCAGGGTCGACCAATAAACAGTCCAGAAATAATGTCCAATTAATGAATAATTTAAACACATCACGAAGGTCATCCAGGATGTCTTCACATGTTACTTGCTGAAAGAAAGATAAAGAAGTTACAATGGACCTATTACCTAATGAACAAAATTTTGATCTCAACAAGTCTAGACAAAAATTTCATTACAGCCAATCTCGTTCCCAGAGTATGCTGCTTGTTCGCGGGTTATGTAGTGGCATGCCACGACATAACCCGCGAACAGGCATACTCTGGGAGCGAGATTGCATCACAGCTTGAAAGAGCATCACAAAATTAGTAATATTCCAAAGTTTCGTTGCGAAATGTTGTAAAATGCGGATAATATAGCTCTGCGAAGTTTGCCGTTTTTCAGTCATTTTGTATTACGCACGGGAAATTGATACCGCTACAGAGGTTTCAAAATAAGCCGTCGCCCGTCGCATCCGACTGCAACTCATCCATTTGCGACGGCTACTTTCTCTTTTGTAAGTAACTATAAATTCTAATTAAGTGTTTACAAAATGTTTTGTGAGCAAACAAGCGTGTATTTCCCCTGGAATTTCGTCGAAACATAGCCACAGTCACAGATTACTAGATTAGAAGGTTTGATACGTACGCGTCTCTTGTGTGTTGAGGACAGGCTCAGAGGTTTTCTATGAGGGGTCATAACCGCCAAAATCCTGTTTCAAATTCGGATGTGGCGAACCTAAATTCTGTTGTTCCAAATTGTTGTTTTATTAGAACAGAATTTAAACGTGCACAACAAAATTTACGTCTCCAGGACAGAATTTAGAACTACGCAACATAATTTTAAACAAACTGACAAATTTTAGAACAACGCAATAGAATTTGAAACAACAGAACACAATTTAACTAAACATTACAGGATTTGAAATAGCACTACAGAATTTAAAACGACAAAACATAATTCAAAACAACAGAATAGAATTCACGGCCTATTCTCAAATTCGGTTCTGCAATCTCAAATTCGGTTCTGCGATCTCAAATTCGGTTCTAACTTCCAAATCGCCGGAAGTGCAGGAACGAATAAGCTAATTTATGATAATTTATAATGCATAATCATGCTAAGTTTTCTTTTATCACGAATTTTGCCAATATAAATTAAAAGTTCTCTCTGGATGTCAAACCTAGGCCTTCCATGCACCCACGATGCACCCCAGTGAAGATTCTATCCACGCGATACGCAATGGAAACGGAATTCTCGCGGGATAGCATATGTCCTTCACCTCTCGAAGAAGAGTAATAACTATCTCAAACACATTTCTCTCTGTGTTTCGTTAATCTGAAGTATATCGACTATCGTGTCAAAAGGTTGATAACCCAATCCAATCTGAACAGAACATAGTCGTAACTGACGTCATCTTGGTTTCCTCTCGCTAAACGCTGTTGAATATCTACAATATAAGTATATAACTTCTAACTTCTCCGGCTATAAGTTCTGAATTGAATGCTATGTTAAACATAAAAATATTGCAGCACTTGAAATATTATAAAGCTTTAAGCCAGAGGCTTTATAACTATAGTATACAAATAATGAATGTTTATGAGTGCAATGGTAAGAATATTTTCATGAGGTGAAAGATGGAATGTTCCATTCAACGAGGCGACAGCCGAGTTGAATGGAACATTCCATCTTTCACCTCATGAAAATATTCTTACCATTGCACTCATAAACATTCATTATTTGTTTTATATAATACCAAAATAGACTAATAGATTCGTATGAGAAGCATTTTGAGGGATGCGATTTATCGAAAACACAAAGAGTGCATTTGTACTATACGTTTTATTCCATTGCACTCGCGGAGAGTGCAATGGAACGTGTTCCATTGCACTCTTGGGAAATCGAATTTTCTATTCAATATCACGTGACCATAAACGGCCAATTAAACGATTGGAATTTAATAAGGTATTATATAA